ACTGCGGCTTAGTGTCGCGCATACCTTTCATGGCGTGAAGGGTCAATGGGCTTATTCCCTAAGAGCTACGTAAAATCTAGGGGCGTCTGCGAGACGGCGATCGCGACACGGCTATGTTACTGGAGCGCGCCAGTCCACCAGTACTGCTTCGGCCGTTACGGTGACCATCGACTATGACATATGACATTCGACTGATCTCCGATTGACTTTTTTGTGGACTCACTTTTTTCGCGATGATAAAATACTGGCTATTGGAAATTATTTTCTTCGTTATTCAATGTATTGCAACTTTTGTTTCGGCGCGGACGAAGTTCAAAACCTCGAGGCCACCTCCATCTATATTGACTTAAAATGCATCAGCACAATGTCCTTTACAGATTGCATAATTTGCAAAAAGGAGATTCAAGGGTTTCCCATCGTGATGTTTCACTGAAAATGGAAATAACAGCAGGGATCTGTTGAAAAGCCTTATCGTTAACGTGCTTACATTACATGCACGTTTACGAAGTAGTTGGTCAAAATTTCACGTTTTGAGTCTCGTATGCATTTCATTGGCGATCATTTGTAATAAATGGGTCAATCCAGTTAATGAAGTGACGATTCTTTAGAATCCATAAAAACCCAGTGCGCAATCTCAAGTGGGCTCCTCCGACACTATGTGAGTTGAGCTCAACAGAAACCCTGATATGATTAATTACAGGAATACTGTCTCATTTGTAGGTTTCGAGTTCTACTTTGAGACGGAGCTCACGCGACCTTTTTGATGCCTTCTATTCTGTCCAAGAGCGTGTGGGGGACCTAGTCCCACATAACAACCCACGCTTCAATTCAAAACATTTGATAGCTCTGCAAGGGGCTACAGCAGTCCAGTATGAATTCAAGTGTCAGCAGGGCCAAGATTCGTTGTATTTTCGAAGGAGATGATTTACACCGAGCTTCCTTTTTCGCTTTATGAAAATTACTACAGAACAGTACATCACTATTTTATTGATCTATAATAATCTCATAATATTATAGTATACTCGTAGCGAGAGTGCCTACTGTAAATGCTTCAGCAAACCTGAAATACTATTACTTGTGCAATATTTCACTATCTTCTCCTATTCACAACAATGTCTCACAATGACATAGATAATTGGCAAATCGATGAATAATCCAAATGTAATAATATTAAAAAACTACATCTAATCACAGCATGCAATTTGCTGCATCGTCAAAAAAAGACCACATGAACCTCAGATGAAATAAAAAGTTGTCCCGACAAACTGAAAATTACTGGGTATTCGAGAAAACATCTTAATGACTTTTTACAAGTGACAAAAATCAAAGCAGCTTGGCCTAATTCTTGCCAGAAGTACCACCGATTAATGATTGTGTTACTCATCTCCTAACCATGTAAGTAGTCAAAATGATATATTAGTTAAGTCTTATATACAAAAGCTCTTCTTATGATAGATCTCTACAGAAGTGTCACCGATGTTTCACGGGCCGTTTTCTTGAGCCGCCTCATTTTCGTGAGCGTTTTCAAAAATTGTAGGGTTAGTGCGTCGAGACAATCCAGTCTTTAGCTCGTTCAAAATCGCCTAAAAAACCGAAATGACGTTCAAAATGCTCTTCAATATAAGCCTTGGTTACCCACTTCATATCCTTTTCTCTTTGCTTCACTGAATGGAGTCGTACCAAACTCGTCAACAGCGTTTGGATCCACACCCTTCTCCATCAAAAATCGTACTGCTTCTATCTGATTGTGTGTAACCGCCTGAAAATTCATTGATCTTGACGTCTGAAGGACTAGCAAGATCTGAATAACTTCGCGCCCCTAATATCAGTAGGCTACTAGGCTAGACGAGCGTGCGGAAGTACTGATGCGGTCTTACCACATGCAGTGGAGTCCTCTTATCGTAATCAGTCTCACTCAGATCGCTGCCTGCTGCTTCCCAACATCTCAGTTGTTCGACGTCGCCGTGCGCTGCGGCGAGGCAGAGATCCACTCCTGAATAGAGAAATGTTATTAATTTGAGACGGAATCAAAGCAGGATAATCGGCTACCGTTGTTGATACTCACCGAGTTTATACGGAGGTATGTCGATAATGCCACCAGCATCGCGAAGAGCTATCACGCAAGGAAGTGCTTTAGCCTTCACCGCACACAGTAGAGGGCTATACCCGAACAGATCCCTGCAACCGAGCCATAAAAGACAACGGAACATGAATCGAAGAAGGAGATCATATAAATATAAATATGTTGTTTACGTTATGATATTAAAACAAATTTTCTAATTACTAACCTAACCCTTTGAAACGCGCCACACATCCGACCTTCATTTAGGGTCGTAGAAGCATGCAGCGCCTACCTTATTAGGTCAATTGGGTCATATAATGTGTTGTCCAAGCAATGACCTGTCGAAGCCAGAAGATAGTTGCTCCTTTTTTTTTCAAATGCCGTGCCAAAAATCGATGATTTAAACGAAAATCAATGACAGACACTAGATGGCTAAGTGATCGCTCACAGCCAATATGTATTCCACCTTGAATTGCCTAGGCATTTTCGGGCGTAGATAGTGACAGCCATCGAGGTAAAAAAAAGTTAAGCTGAAAGAAGAGCACTCCGCTTAGTACTGGCGCTTTTGAAAAAGTTTCTCAATGACCAACTAGAACCTAGTAAATGAATTTCACCTCCTGATTATTTCACCCCTTCGTATTTTTATGTGTTCTTTTTTCATGGTTTCCTTGTGTTATTTTTCCTTGTTACTTCTTCAGTGTTTTTCAGTTTGCGCAAGTTCTTTTTGTTTTCTGATATTACACATATACATGTAATAATAAATAAATAAATAAATAAATAAATAAATAAATAAATAAATAAATAAATAAATAAATAAATAAATAAATAAATAAATAAATAAATAAATAAATAAATAAATAAATAAATAAATAAATAAATAAATAAATAAATAAATAAATAAATAAATAAATAAATGAATGAAATTGCGGTGAATTTCACAAAATATAAAGGATAAAGGATAAAGCATTTGCCGTTGATCAATCCCTTTTTGGGATGCGGCACGCATTCTACTTCCATTTGTACATTCGTAGTGGCGTTTGAATGCGATGTGGCCTATACAATGACTTGCGGGGGCCAGCCGATGTACAAGTCAGTGTTTTTATCCTCCCAGACAAGTCTGGTACCAATTAACCGACCCCGGAGGGATGGAAGGCTTGGTTGGCCCGGGCGACTCACGACCCAGGATTTGATCCCCGGACCGCTCGCGTGGTAAGCGTGCCACTTGCCACTACACCACTTCCGCCCTAATGGTTAATAAAATAATAATTAACGCAATGTTGCAAACAAAATCAAGTATACGTACAAATATATCCAACCCAACAGACCAATACGACAAATCACCGACTCCAGGACGGATTACACCAGTGGCTAGAAGCGACGCATCAAATTACATGACAAAGCGTGCTGCAGGATATCTTCATGCCCACCAAGGCTTCTCTTCCCCAGGGATTTGCGTTTGGTACCAGGACTTTGGAGCAAGTTGAAAGACTGGATCCTACATTACCAAGACTGGTTCCTACACTACCGTACCATTATTCACGCATCGCGTGCAGGTCACGATTTAGTAAAGTTTTAAAGGGAAGGCAGATGCCGTCCGGATACATTATTGACTATCAGTAGGTATGACACTCACTTGGCATGAACATTGGAGCCCATACTGAGCAAATACTTCACAGCTTCTAGATTCCCACTGGTTGCCGCTACATGCAAGCGCTGTACGGAGATTGTAGTCGCACACGGCGAAGTTCACACCGGAGTCCTAGAAAACGGCTTCTCAATATGAGCATATAAACAGCAGATGGTCGATGAAAAACCGGAGACTGTAGAAGCTAAACTAAGAAGGATAATCACATTGTTCAACTACGAGTCACTTCAAGTTGCAGGATTACCTCAGGGATGCCTAGAGGCGCGTGGGGACCAGGAATCTCGAAATTGTCAGGGTTCTTGCACTAAAAGAGTCATGCCCCTTAAAGCGAAAACCCTGATCTGACTTGTGAGGTAACAGCGGTCGATAATGAAGATTTGGTTGCCGAGTTGATTGAAAATGAATAAGAGCAATGGAAATCGTCGATAGGCCATTAACAAGTGCCCTCTCTCTTCCCCTCTAAGATGAGAGAGAGGCGTGTCTGGACGAGTTTACAAATCCTGCTCGTCTCATGGCTTCACTAATCCGTGCATATTTGAATGGGCTGTGACATATGATCCACGTTACGTGTCATGCACGAGGAGAGTCGTCCATTTGCGACATTTTCTCACTTCAAAAGGCCCTACCATCTTTTTCGCACAGTTCAAAGTCACGGGAACGATAATCCTGTGCTACTCGTGGCAACTCTCTTCAAATCACTTCCAATCCTTGATGCACGAATACGGCGGTATGT